CCTAGGAGCCGGGCTCCGGCTCTCCTCTTCCCCAGCGATAGCCTAGCCGGGGCTCCCGGGGACGGGCTGATGTGGGTGTCCCTTAGCGCCAGCGGGTCCTCTCCGGCGCTTCCTCGGGGCTGGCCCCTGCGCGCCCCCCGCCTCGGCCACGCGTGGGCTTGGCGCGCTGCCCCCGGAGGCTCCCTACCCTGCCCCGCGGCCCTGCATCCACGCCCGCTCCCCGCGGCAGCTGGCGAGGGGTGCGGGACCCGTCAGGCACTGAGTTGTCATGTAAACAAGTCACTCCCTAGATAAAAATGTAATTAAAAAATAAAATAAAATATCAAAAGATATGGCCCAAAGACCCATATCTTTTATATGGCTGCTCAGTCATGCTCTACCAAACAAGCAATTAATACACATACCCCTTAATTAGCAAGTAGTTATTCCTATTGTGAAGGGTGCTCAGTCAGAAAGCAAAAAGCAGTATCATGCACCAGGAAGAGAGCAGCAATACAGACAGGATAGCATCACCCCCTAGACCCTATGTGGGAGGCATGGCAGGCAATTTCCCACAGACTCTATCCTATCACTTATCAGAATACCACCAGTCTAAAACTGCCTTGATTGTTTTTGTGGTGATTTAGGATTTTTTTTCTTTCCTTTGTATTTCTTTTTGCTGTAACAAAGGGAAAATTTTCCAAGAAACTGTGATTTTTTCACACTCTTAAGATGCCTTTCCATTGCTGACAGGATAGAGCGGGGCACCTATGAAAGCACCTGATGTGAGCAAATTTATTCTTTAATACAATATGCCCTTATTTAAGAAGGATTTAATCCTTCCTGCAGTGGGTGGCTGCAACATTAATAAAGGGTGCATGTAGAAGGAGGCAGCCAGTACCAGGAGCACAGGTGGATCAACTCCTTTGCCAGGGCATGAGGAGAAGCAGGAAGCTGATGATAATGAGACGAAGTAAAACTGTCTACATCTCTACAAAGCAGGCCAAAGGCAACCAAAGGAAAATAAGATGAAGAGATGTTTGCAGATCCAGGAAACTTCATGGTGATAAAATAAAACCATGGAGACATGAGCCTTTTCTTTTCTATGCATAATTTTGAAATAAGGATATTTATATGCTGTTTTTTTCAGGGATTCTCATTAAATTATGGATTAGTCCCTCAGTGTTTGAATGAGTATTAATTAGGTATCTGGCTAATGAGTAAAAAAAAACCAAAACAAAAAATGTATGCTTCCCACCCCTTTCTTGAGTTAGTATTCAATGCACATACTCATGTTTCACTGGCACAAATGTTTATGAAAGATGAATTTCAAAGTAAACTGACAAAGTATATTCTAAATACGAAAAAATACTGCCAAACCCCAAGAACATAACTGTATTTGCTAAATAAGGTAATTAATATTTATTGCTTGAGGCCTAATAAATCATAGCATTCATAATTATGGAGTTTCCAATGGGTGATAGCAAGGCAGCAAGCTACTTGTTATAGGGAAACCATACCCTGTAGTGATTCTACTTGTCAGAAAGCGAAGATGAAGGATGCCTCTCCTCTTCCCCGACTGTTTCTGCAGAACATATTTGTCCCATCTTTCCATCTGTGAATCTGTGTCTCTGGTCACTTCTCAAGACCCCACTTGTCAAATGAGTCCTGTCTCTGAAAGATTTATACCTACTCCATCACCTATATTTCACAGCTCTGTTAAGCGGTAGACAGTCTC